ATGCCCCGGTGGGGCCCAAATGCTCACTGGACACAGGTGGGTGGCAGGCAAGACGTCTGTGTGACAGACCCCCACCTGATGGCCCTGGCCCCCTCTCTGTGACCTCAGGCCTGAGGGGGCGGGCTGTGCAGAGCAGGGACCTCAGCCTGTGTGGTCAGTACGTATCAGGCCTTGCCCTGCCCTGTCACAGGACTGACTATGGGATGTTCTGCTCTGGGACCCAGGCCAGCTCTGCTGTGGGGGAAACCGAGGCAGTCCAGGGTCCTTTCCCCAGAGTCTGTCCCTGGGAGCCCTGAATACCGCTCCCTGAGACCAGGTGTGGGCCGCTCCTTGCAGGGCACATTGAGCAACAGGGCTGTGGAGGAGCAGGAGCTGGTTCCTGGCGGCCAGAGACCACAGGAGGCGGGTGCAAAACGGCCTAATATCCGGCTTGGTGCTGGGGCGGGGAACCCTGCAGGTCAGGTGGGAGAGGCTGGATCTCTGGGCAGAGAGGGTGGTACAGGAAGCCTTTGTGGACATAGGTGAGGCCGAGCAGCAGGGGGCTGAGGGAGGGGCTGATGAGGACGTCCCATCCTCAGGACCGGACTCAGTGGGGACAGGGGAAACACTCTGGGGCTGTGGGCGTCGGGGGTCACGTCCGGCCGGGCAGGCTGGTGTGGTGAGCAGCCCTGAGTGCTGTGCAGCGTGGTCCTCGGTGACTCGGGGTTCACAGCTCCCATGAGAGCTGTGGCTGGAAGGGGCCATGGATGGGCCCAGGAGGTCCCAGAGCTGCCGGGTGCCCATGGTGTCTGCTCTCATGGCCAGGCCTGGGCTGACGACCACAGCAGCCTGAGCTCTGTCCCCAACCCTCCCAGCGTCCTGGGATGTGGGGAACCGTCCACGCTGCCCACAATAACCACTGGGTGGCAGCAGAGCTTGGCCCTTGGTGGTGGAGGCCTCAGTCCCGGACCCAGCTTGGGCTGAGCAGAGCCTGGCTTGTGGGCCCGGAGGTGGGGCTCCCCCTTGTCTGCCATCCTCATGCCCGGGGGCTTGGCTCCTTCCCCTCCCTGGGCTCATCTGTGTCCTGAAGAGTGGGTGGTGGGCGTCCTGGAAGGAGTGGATGGAAAGAGACCCTTTCCTGCTCTGTGGGGGCCCAGGCATTGAGGGGTGACAGGTCCTGACTTGGGGTCCTGGATCCTGCTGCACGGTGGACTGTGTATACTCCTCACACCTTCCAGGGAGCAGGGAGCCCAGTGGTTGTGGCCATGCTCTTTTTGAATTTTAAAATCTTTTTCAATCAGATTTTATTGGTATACTTTCGATATAATGACCACATGCATCATAGAGGATTTGTACCTGTACACGATGTAACTTGGTTTATTTTTTTTTTCCATTCCCCTACCCTCTTCCCTCCCCATTCACAAAAGCTTTGTTTCTGTGTTTTGTGGCCGTGCCCTTGGGTTGCACCGGGCATCCTCTGCCCTGAGGGTTGCGGCTGCTGGGTGTCCCAGTGACCCTGGGCACAGACACATGGGGGACTTGCCTGATGTCACACAGCTCACAGCAGAGCTTGACTTGTGGGGCCCTGTCTTAGTTACTGTTCTTGTTGCAGAGACAAAATACCCAACACCCAATGTTGAAGGAGGAAAGGTTTATTTAGCTCACAGTTTGTGGAGGTTCCAGTCCATAACTAACTGGCCCCGAGGCAGAGTGGCACATGGCAGAGGGCAACAGTTCACAGCTGTGGAAGACAGCAAGAGCAACAGGAGCAAAACGGGGGAGCAAGTCCTCCATTGCAGTGTCTGCAGACTGCCTGCCCCAGGGCGGGTATAGCACTCACACCCCAACCCCAGCACTAGACAATGAACCAATCACAAACTCTAGATTCAGTTGCCTCCAAAAAGCCTGCCCTCCATGACCACAGGAAGCTTTGGGGGGAATCCAGACACAAGCTGGAACAGGCCCCTTCAAACCGGAACAGTCCTGCCCAGGGCCTCCTGAGCAGTGGTGTTGCGTGTGCTCACAGGGCCACCCTGCCAAGTGGAGACCCCGGGGGGCCTTGGCTGCAGGGTAGGTGGTTCTGGTCTCAGGAGTGAGGTGCAGCCAGGCCTTGAGGGCGGGATCAGGCCCAGGCAGGTGGGAGCCCGGGGCTGTAGCTATCAGCTTGCAGCTGGGAGAGCTGCCTGGCTGGTGGTGCTGTGAGCCGGAACGGAGGAGTCTGGGGCTGTGGGCTGGGCTGGCCCTTGGTCTGAGGCCCATTGATTATGATTGTGCAGGAGTGACCGTGGCACTTCACCTCTGGGGAGATGTGACTGTCAATAGATAGTTCATGGCTGGCCTGTGGCCCGAGGGCTGGGGGCAGGTCACTAGCCATGGCCTTGGCAGAACCAGGCCTGGCCAGACCAGATGGGGTCCTTGGGGTCAAAGGGTGAAGGTCAAATCCCCTTTACCTACTGACTGGGTAGGGCTGCCCTGAGTGCCCTGTGGAGGAGCCTGGAGAGGCTTCTGGCCAGGGAGGACAAGTGCAGGCATGAAGCCAGATGTGGCCTGGGGAGCTCAGGCCGGAGCACCAACCCTGCACCTGCATGGGACACAGCAGCCTCAGGTGGCCTCTTGCCCCTCTGAAGACTGCAGTGGGCACTGCCCAGGGCCTCTGGGTCACTGGTCCAGCCCCAGTGCTTATCCTAACCCCTCTGCAGCTCTTGGCCCAGCCTGAGCTCCCATTCACCCCAAAGCCCAAGCCCACAGGGCCGTAGGAGGAGCCCACCCCGATCCCACACACTCCACCCCCAATGGGACCTGGCCAGGGCCCTGGCACCCCACTTCCTCCCCTCCATCCCCACTGCCCTCAGGGACTACCCACTGCAGCCCTGGTCACTGAGGTGCCAGCTCCAGGAATGACAGATGGTGACGGTGTGGGACCCAGCCCACTTGGGGCTGTGGTGGCCCAGTCATGGCTGCAGGGGCACCTGAGGTGGGTGGGGCGGGACCTGGTTAGCTCTCCTTCCTTGGCCTACACTGCCCCCCTGCATCCTGGCTTCTGGCCCTGAACGTGCTCTGCTCCTGTAGCCTCCAGCTAGCCTCACTCTGCCCTCTGGTGGCCGCTCCCAGTCCCGCCTCAGGGACTGCCCCACAGCTCCTGCCCGCCCTGGCCTGTGGCTTGGCTCTCAGGTCAGGCCCAGGGACCCTACCGCAGGCTTTCGGTCTGTTGGGTGGACAGTGCGCTGACCGCTGGTGAGACTCGGGTGTCCCCTGCCTTGGGTGTCACTTGCCTTGTCTCTTGCCTCCTGGTGGGGTCGGAGGTCCTGTGTGCCCAACTGGGTTGGCCTCAGGGCCATGTCTTTCCCGACCCTCAGGCCCGGCAGCCCCGGGGCTTGGTTGGCCTTGGAGCCATGATGCGGGTCAGGGCTAGGGGCTCTCATGTTTGCGTGTCTCCTGGTGAAGACAGTGCACAAAGCAAGCCCAGGCCATGCCCTGCTCATCTCTCTTCCCCTGACATCCAGCGGAGGTGGCCAAGCTGGGTCAGCGGAGGCAGAAGGACTCTGTGCCCACCGTCCTCTGGCTCTGTAGAGGGCCCCTGGCTCCCAGCGCCCAACTCCTGCTGCACCTGCCCCTGGGGCTGCTGCGTGGCTCCTGCCTCCCACCCCAAGGTCGCCTGGCCTGGACCCCACAGGCTGGCCACAGCCTTGGACATTTTGGTTTTCTTCTCAGACTCAGAAGTGTGCCCAAGCAGTCCTGCCAGGAGGCACTGGGGACGGCTGAGTCCTTGTGTCCGAGGAGTGAGGCTCGGGCCAGAACTCCACCTCCTCTCCTGGGGGCCTGGGGGCTATGTCTGCCGTGGGCACAGGGGCTTCCTGGGGCACAGAGGGCCTCACACGGCTCTTGATGTAAAACGTGCCTGGCAGGTCTGAGGTGGGACCCTTCCTGCAGGCTTTGCCAGTTGTGTGGCCCTGGGTGACTTGCTTGTGTCTCCTGGGCTCACATTTGCGGTTCAGAGAGGTTGTGTCCCTGATTTCTGTCTCTCAACCTCCACTGCCTTCTGAGCCTCAGTTTCTCCCTTGTGAAGCGTGGACCCCTGGGCCCATGGACGTGTGTCCCTGTTGGGATCTGCTTCCATCCAGGGTGGGCAGCCGGGGTATTGCGAAGTCCACAGGTGGCCATAGGAGCAGTAGTTGCATCGGGCTCCGCCTCCTTGGCATCCTGAGGCTGCATTCACAGGTGGAGGAAAATCTGCTGTCGTCACAAGGGGCTCAGCAGGCGCGGGGCACCATGTTCACAGACCAGGCCCAGAGGGCTGGGCTGCCTGGGCTAGGGCCTCAGTAAACACACCTGTGGGCATGGGCTCGGCGATGGGAGGGGACCTGCCAGAGGACCGGCCTCTGGACGGCGAGGCCAACCTCACAAAGAAGCCCAGGCCTCGAACACTGTGTGGGGCAGGTGTTCCCTGAGGGGCCGCCTTGACTGCCAGCCTGGGGGCCGTGCCCGGCCTGCTCAGAGCACCTCCTCACGGCCCACCGAGACGGAGCCCAGCAGTGCAGCCCTCCTCAACTTTTTTCTCCTCCCCAATTAATTAATTTAAATTGACCATTAAGTCAGCCGAGTTTTTGATTGATATTTTCATTAGCGGCCCTGTCCGACGCCCCAGGAATGTATGGTAATGTCCAATCTGGGCGGCTGCGCTCCTCCTCGCACGCCCTGAGTTATGGCCCGGCTGGCGCGCGGCTCCCAGGGTAATTTGAATTCAGATGAGCTGCCGCAGCGTTCCGGAGCCTGGCGGCCAGCCACTGACAGATGGCACTCGGGTTACCACAAGGTCACTGTGCAGCCGCCACCCGCGCCAGAGGGTGGGCTGGGCCTGGGCGAAGGCTGGTGCCCTGCGGCGGTGGCCAGGTGAACCCTGAAGACTGCCCGGCCGGTCGCTGTCACCGGCGAGCGCCCCCATGAGGCCCAGGCCTGGGTGGCTCAGAGCCCTGGACAAGCCTCCCGGCCACTGTCCACTCACTGCCAGGGATGCGTTGGCCATGGCGGAGCAGCCGCCCTCACGTCCAGAGAGCTGGTGGGCGCGGGTGCTGGAACTCTGCCCAGGGAGGTGCTCGGAGCCTTGCCGTCCTGTATCTCAGGTGGCCTGAATGCCAGGCTGATGCCAGTGTGGAGGCCACTGAGCATCCGCTGTCCAGCTGTGTGGCTGAGGTTCCGTCGGTGCTCTGTGCCTGGGCCCGCGAGCACAGTGAAGGTAACGGGGCCTCCGGTGTGGCTGAGGGCGAGGGGCGGTGGGCCAGTCTGGGGATGGTGCAGGAAGAGGCTGTGCTGGTCTTGGGGCCCCTTGGGTGACCTCAGTGGCCCGAGCTGCCCGGGTCTTCACATGGTGGCGTGGGTCTGCAGAGGAAGGAGGGGTGCTTGAAATCCTGGTGCCACTGTGGGGCCTGAGCACTGGCACTTGGGCTGAGTCCGGACGTGATACCCAGCCAGGGCCTGGCCAGACAGAGATGTGTGGGGCTCGGGGGCAGGGGGCGGTGAGGGGCTCAGTGGGGGGGCATCTGAGTGGTGTGACGACACCCTGCTCTGCCTGCTCCGTCCCTGGGAGCGACTCTGCCCTCTGTGCTGGGTCCACACTGTCTTCGCTGCCTGCCGAGGGGCCCCGCCACCCATGGGGTGCACCCACTGTGTGGCAACGCAGGCTGAGTGTCCTTGCCCAGGGCCCCAGTGCGGGAAGGCGGGGCAGTGAGGCCGGCAGAACGGGAGGGCCAGCAGCCTGCGGCAGGAACCCGCTGAGATGGCCGGATCCAGCCTGTCGCGGCTCCCAGAGCTTGACAGCCCCCAGGCTCCCAAGGCCACTGCCCTGCAGTCAGGCTCCCCACACCGGGACTCAGGGACCCCTGGGTCGTGGCAGGTGGAGGCTCTGGGCTGAAGGAGACTGTGCAAGACCACATATTGGCCCCTCCATGTCCCGTGGCCCTTGCGGCCCCACATGAGGGCCTCAAAGCTGCACAGGAGGGGCTCGTGATGGGGTGAGAGCAAGGACACCTAGGCGGGGTCAGGCCCGGGAGGCTGGGGCCAATACGCACCATGCCTTCTGTGCCGGGCTGTGGGGCCCTCACATACCTGGACCCAACCTTCGATCTTGCCTTTGAAGGGTGCAGCCATGAGGCCGTGTGGGGAAAACCTTTGGGCAGAATTGTGGGGAGGGCTCTTTGAAAGCAACTGACCTGCTGGGTACAGTGGCGTATATCTGTAGTACCAGTTACTTGGGAGGCTGAGGCAGGGAGATTGTGAGATACCAGCCTGGGCAACATCGCATGATTCCTTCCAAAAACAAACAGCAGCTGACTCAACTGAGAAAAGCGCTTTGTCTTTTGTTTTCTCTTTCCTGCTTATGGAAATACAGGTGTGATGGCTGGGGCTCTGGCGGCCTCTAGGTTGACCTTGAGGGAGGAAGCTGTGTGCAAGGAGGTAGAACAGAGGTTCCTTGGAGTGTGATGACAGAGAGAACTGACCTGGCCCTGCTGTGGCAGTGTCTAGCTCTTGTCTCGGTGGGGGGGGGATGAACTTCTAGCCTCCTCATGCTGTATTTGTTGTTGTCATTGTTGCTTTTGCTTTTGTTGGTGTTTGGGGGAGCAGTGCAGAGGGCAGCGTCACTGCATTATGGAGTTTGGTGGTGTGGTGTTTTTACTGCTGCTGGTGGTGGTGTCTTTGCTATTTTTGTTCTTGATAGTATTGTTGCTGATGCTGTGTGGCGGTGATGGAGTGTTGCTACTATTGTTAGTGTGGGTGGTAGGGGTGTTGTTTGTGTTGGTGGTGGGGCTGTTGTTACTGTGGGTAGTGCCAGGGCTGGTGCTGGGGTTGGGGTTGTTACAGTTGTTCATATTGTGGTGGTGATGGTGCTGCTGGTCGGTTGGTGGTTTTGCTGTTTGTGATGGTGATGGTAGTGGTTTTGGTAGTGAGGTGTTGTTTCCACCGGCAGTGTTAGTGTTGGTGGCACTGTTGTTGGGGTGTTGTCAGTGTGGTCGGTGACGATGATGTTAGTGTTTTGTTGCCAGCAGTGTCAGTGTTGGTAAAGGTGTTGTTAGTGTGTTGTGTTGTTGGTGGCGGTGTGTTGTTACTGTTGGCAGTGTTAGTGTTGCCAGTGGTGACAGTACTGTTGTTGGTGTGTTGTTGGTGGTGATGGTGTTGTTGGAAGGGTGTTGTTGCTATTGTTAGTGTTGGTGATCAAGGCGTTGGTGTTGTGTTGTTACTGTTGTCCACGTTAGTGTTGGCAGTGGTGATGGTGGTGGTACTGATGGTGGTGGTGTGCTGTTACTGTTGGTGTTGTTGTTGGTCTATTGTTACTGCTGTGTTGCTACTGCTGGCAGTGTCAGCACTGGTGACAATGATGGTGATGGTGGTAGTGGTGTGTTGTCAGCATTCCTGTTGCTGGTGGTGATGTTGATGTTTGCCTCTTGGTGGGAACCAAGGAGACTCCCCCCAAGGGACATGGCCTCCAGACCCTCCATTGTCCAGGACAAAGTGTAAAGTGAGACCTCAGGGTGGGACCTGAGGGTTGTTCTGCAAAAAAAGGAACACCTCATTCAACCACAGTGCCAGGCACACTCAGGATAGCTCTGTTATGGGCAATACAGCCACATTCTGTAAACACTGGCTTGGTTCTTAACAGGACCTAAGGATGGGTGGAGACCAGAGGTGAGAGCCCAGGAGGCTGGGGATAGATTAGGTGGTGCTGTCAGGAGCAGCGTGGGTGTGTGGACCCTGACTTGTCCCTGTGCCCTGGGCCTACTCTGCCTGCCCTGCCTCCTGCCCCTGGGGCTCCAGGGTGGAGTGGCTCCCAGAGGCCTCCTGACCTCTACGCCTCCTCCCTTGGTCCACGGCCTGCCCCTGTCCTGGAAGGCTGGCTGGGGCTGAAATGCAAGTGGAGGATTCCTGTGTGCAGTAAAGGGAAGAGCCAGGCCATGGCCCTGGGGCTCACAGCTAGGGTGGAGGAGGAGGCAGAGAGGAAAGAGGGGCAGCCTGCTCCTCAGGCCCCTGGCCTGGGCGACTGGAACCAGTTTCACACTCAGTGAAGACCCTCAGGAACACGGGTGCTGAGATGGCCCCACGGGCCGGAAGCTAAGCACTTGTCACCAGCAGGCTTCCCCTGAGATGTTCCCGACAGAAGGGGGAGGGGTGAGAAGGCCGAGAAGGCTATGGAGGAGGGAGTGAGGTGACGGTAACCCCACAGCCTCCCTCCCCTTGGCTGCTTAGGTTCTGTGTGATTGAATGAAGCTCAGACCACGATGGAGGTGATTCCCAGTGGATGACAGGAGCCGCCTATGACAGCTCCAGGAGAGTGGGGTGCTGAGGGCCCAGGGGAGGTTGTCACACTCCACCTAGACCTGCCAGAGATCAAGACGGAACCGCACGTGGGCCCTGTGTGCCACACCCCGCAGAGCCGGCAGAGGCCGGGAGAGGACCCTGTGGTCCTCCTGGGATTTTCTAGGAGAGCACAGCTCTGGTGCTTGGTGAGGCTGGGCCCTGTTTGCCCCTTTGGGGTGTCAGGAAGTGGTAGCTGAGGTCCCAGCAGCATCGTCTGAAGAGATTTGCCTCCCCTGTTAAAGGGCGATGTGCTTCTCATTCACGTCTGCTCTACAGACACTGCTGTTGTGTGCGCCGATCCGGCGACACCCATCAGGACCGTCACAGTAGATCTTGCAATTGGACTGGTTGCATCTCCAGGTTTTCCATTCTTTCAGAAATTTTAGTCTATTCTGGATATTTTGCATTTCCATAGTTCAGCAATGTTACAAAAGAGACTGTTGGTGTTTGACTGGGACCGTGCTAACTCCGTAACCCAACTTGGGAGAATGCCACCGAGATGCGCGTTGCACTGCTGCCCACGCCCCACGCCCCACTTCCTAAGCCCCAATTCCGCTCCGCTGTCCCTGTGTGGCTCTTCCACATGTTTCAATCCATTTTCTTCCCTGCATTTTAGCTTTTTGTACAAAGTTAGATTTACACATTTATTTTCTAATCATTTTGCCACCAGCTTATAAGAGTAGATGTGTCCCGATCTTATGTCTTGTGATCCCACTGAGCTTGTGCCCAGCCTGTTGGGCGAGTTGTGGATCCTTGTGAGGGACTAACTGTTCCCTTGCCATAGCATTGTCCCAGGACCTGATCTGGGATGGCTCAGCTGGGATCACCAGAGCTGGGTTTTGAGGCCCAGCAGGTACCCAGGGGGAGCCAGGAGGAGCTGAGAAGGGCAAGAAGGGCAGCTTGGCTCCTGCCTGCTTGCCCTGCACACTCTTTGATAAGGCCAAGCCCCTTCCTCCTACCTCGGCTCATGGGCTCATGACGTTTGCTCCAGTTGGTACAAGGCACATTTCCTTTTTTTGCCTTTTCTGGTTGTTTTGTTTTTTTAGATAGGCTCCTGCTGTGTGGTTCAGGCTGACCTTGAACTCACAGTGATCCTCCTGCCTCAGCCTCTCAAGTGCTGGGATTATAGGTAAGTGCCACCGTGGCTGTATTTCCTATTTTTTAATTTGCTTTCTGTTTGAGTTCGTTTTATTTTTATGTTTTTACCAAACACCACTCTCCGGCTCTGTAGGCTCCCTGGTCCTCTACGCGGCCCCTCACTGCCCCTGCTCTGCAGCCTCTTCCTTTACCCTGTAGCTCTCTGGCTGCTGCCCCACCTGTCCCCTGGTTCCTTCTATGAATCTGCTTTGGCCCATGTTGGAGGCCAGGAGGGTACAGTACCTGGAGCCCAGTAGGGACGATTGTCCCTCACCCTGCACCCTGCCTCACTGTGGCCAGGTCTCGAGGGCTGGCTTTTGGGAAAGTGCTGTATTCATGAATTTGTCTCCCTGTTGAACCCCATCCCCAGGATGGCATCCACATCCAAGGCACCAGCATGGCCACTCTTGGTGTCCGGAGGAGAGAAGGCTGGGTCATGCATTCCACCAGGCGAGCCGGGCGTGGTGGTGCACCCCTGTAATCCCAGCACTTGTGAGGCTGAGACAGTAGGATCAATCCAAGTTCGAGACCAGCCTGGGCTACAAAGTGAGCTCAAGTCCAGCTTGAACCGCATAGTGAGACCCTGTCTCAAAAAGACAAAAAACGAAACAAAAACTTGCGTACCATTCCACCAGGCGAGGCAACAGTGCCTGCTCCTCAGGGGCTGCGGTCTGTCTGTGCCTGGTTTTCTCTCGTCTGTGTGTCTAGTGACTGCTTTGAGAAGTGGCGGGACAGGGCTGGGTCCTGAGC